TTTAGGGTTTAGGGTTTAGGGTTTAGGGTTTAGGGTGTCGATTTCAACAGGCCCCAAAATTACTTATAAGTAGGACTCCATGTTAAACAATAAGGGGAATGAAAAATGATCTCACATCGGTACCTAGATTAGGGTACTTCTGAGTGGGATTCCGGGCAACTATGGTTTAGAAACCTTACCCCGGGGGCTCTTATCCCCCTTCTTAGTCGTAGGGTTTTACAAGTTGTGAACTATTGCTGTAACCTTATTTAGGCCTCTTACAACCCTGCTTGTAAGTAACCCTAAGCCCTAAACATCCCTAAACCCTATATTTAGGGCTCTTGCAACCCTATATGAACCTCCAAGTGGACTCCACAACGAGAGACATGGGTTCCCCTGAGCCCCCCCCCTAATATGCTACCCCCCCTAGGTTTACCCCTCAAATGACCTTCATTCTCCCTTAATTATCCCTAAACAGCCTGAATTAGCAGGGATAGTACAACCCTAAGCCCTAAACTCGACACCCTAAGCCCTAAACCCTAAACCCTAAACTCTAAGGTATAGAGGGGGGGAACTAGGTAAACCCATGAGAGACGTTTCAGGCGGGCTGGTGGGAGGCTTCTCCGATGGCCTCGCCTCTGGAAGCCCTTGATCTGTGCATCCTGCGGAAGCGGCTTTTGAATTTTGAGCCCTAAACCCTAAACCCTAAACCCTAAACCCTAAATCCCAAACCCTAAACCCTAAACCCTAAACGTTTAAGGAGTATCAAAACCAGAACACAGTAAGGAGACCATGCGATGGCTCCTTGATGGCTGTCGGGCTGTTACCCTGGTCGTTCTCCTGAGGGCACAGTTGTCAAGTCCACTGGCATGTCTCGGGGATTAGAGCTTAAGGTTTAGGGTTGAGGGTTTAGGATTTAGGGTTTAGGGTTTAGGGTTTAGGGTTCAGGGTTTAGGATTTAGGGTTTAGGGTTTAGGGTCTAGGGGTGCCAATGTCTGCGCCTCAATGGAATCATCAGCATCGAGGAACGCTTGGAAATCACCTTGTGGCCATGGTGCGGCTGAACTCGAAACTGTAGACTCTAAACCCCCTAGCCCGCCTACCCCAACCCAAAACCTAAACCCTAAACCCTACCCAAACCCTAAACCCTAAACCCTACACCCTAAATCCTAAACCCTAACCCCTAACCCCTAACCCCTAACCCCCAAACCTGAGTGCCACCCTAAACCCATGCAAGTCTGCAGCCCAGCTGCTCATCGGCTCACAGTGTGCCTTTACCTGGATTTGGGGGGACACAGAATAGGGGTTTCCCAATTTGGGGTTACCCTTTTGGTTTAGGTTTAGGGTTTAGGGTCTTGACCAGGGTCTGTGTTTTGGGGTGTATCAGGGGTACATCTCAGGGAGCATGCGCTGGCATCGAGATGGGTGATGATGCCTTACAAGCTTCACTGATTCATGTTCCCCGTTGGATATCCATTCTCATACGGAGCCTTATCTTGGAGGTAATCTACATGGGGTGAGGGTTTAGACAGCTGCCTGTGCTTTCTGTGCCTAAGTGCCAGCCCTAACCCCGGGGGGTCCGGGGTTGCTGCAAGCTCTGAGAGCTTCTATGTTCCCAAACCCCCGTATCTTGCAGAGTACAGTATAGTGACGATAGTATACGTATGCCAGTGATGACAGTATGTGGACAACAAAAAACAACCCCAACAATGCGCGAGGGCTGGGTTCAGTCCGCCCCCCCCCCCCCCTCATTCCCCACTGCAAGAACGAAAAACATTTTCACAGGCCGTAAATTGGGATGTTCCCCCTTATACTAACAGTCCTTAATAGGGATTATAGTACGCCCTATTGTAATCCCTATGAAGGACTGTTAGTACAAGGGGGAACATCCCAAGCCCCAGGCCCAACCCCCTAAACCCCTTTCAACGAGATTCCGCTTCTCCTACTGCTTTCGGTTTCTGGCATCCCTAGGAATACAGGGGGACTTCTGGATTGACAGCAGCGCAGACCTCTGATCTGTCGGATTTGGAGACCTCCTGGTTTTACCCTGGGACCCTAAGCCCCAACCCCTCAACCGTCGACTCTCAACCTAAACCCTAAACCCTAAACCCTCAACCCTCAACCCTCAACCCTCAACCCTCAACCCTAAACCCTAAACCTAAACCCTAAACCCTAAACCCTAAACCCTAAACCCTAAACCCTAAACCCTAAACCCTAAACCCTAAACCTAAACCCCAAACCCTGAAGCCCGCCTCATTGTGCCATCCCCGACTTTGCGGTGCCACCCGTCGGCACGGGCGAGGCTGTGAGATACGATGCAGCAGAAGCCGGAAATCTTACACAAGTTAGGGTTTCGGGTTTAGGGTTTAGGGTTTAGGGTTGAGGGTTGAGGGTTGAGGGTTGAGGGTTGAGGGTTGAGGGTGTAGGATATCTTCCCAAATCATCCTTTGAAGAATTACATAAGGGCCCCAAAGTCCCGAATTCCCCTATCAAGAGCCCAGAACAAGTCAGCACTCTCCATACTTCCATCTGAATTATGGAGAACTGGAATGCCGCCTAAACCCTAAACCCTAAACCCTGAACCCTGAACCCTGAATCCTGAATCCTGAACCCTAAACGACTACACATGTTGGGTAGATTGCGGAAATTTCAGCTTGAGGAGCCAAGCACTCAAGCCCTTAAGGTTTAGGGTTCGCCCTAAACTCTAAACTCTAAACCCTAAACCCTAAACCCTACACACCTAACCCTCAACCCTAAGCCCTAAAGCCTGAGTCCCACCTTCATGGTGGTAGTGCTGCGGATCTTTGGGCCTGCGGAACTGATGTTGACCATGTGCCTGCCCACAGAGGCTAAGGTTTAGCGGTTTCGGGGCTTTAGAGGTTAGGGTTTGGGGGTCGGGGTTTAGGGTTTAGGGTTCAGGGTTTAGGATTTAGGCTTTGGGGTTTAGGGTTTAGGGTTTAGGGTTTGGGGGTTCGGGGTTTAGGGGCTCAGGGAGTTCAGGGTAGGGACTCACTGTGCCAAGCTTGGTCCGCTAGCCGTTGGCTGCTGCAGTGCTGATCTGACGACACCCGACCCAGATGACCGACCCTAAACCCCAAGCCCCAAGCCCTAAGCCCTGAACCCTAAACCCTTTTTCCAACACTCTTTTGCTGTGCTCGCATTTTGTTGCAGAGCTGGAATGGTCAGGCCATTCGATGTGTGTCGCCTTGGCGAGCTCAGGAATGCTTTGGCGTTCGGGTTTAGGGTTTTGAGTTTAGGGTTTAGGGTTTTGTGTTTTGGGTTCAGGGTTCAGGGTTTGGGGTTTAGGGTTTGGGCTTAGGCTTTCTTGTAACACTGTGTGTAGTCAGTTTGCTAATAAAGACACTAGGGAGGATGCAGTATACCGTAAATGATACTATATGGACACCATCATCTCGACTACCCAAAAAAGACAAGATAACATAACATGATATGACACAATGCACCGCAGCGTAACAAAATGCAGCATAATCAGAACAAACACCACTCATATGCCATCTGTCACATGTCACATGTAATGAATATGCAATATGTAGTATTCGTGTATATGTGTATATATGGTTCAGCGTCGAGCGTCCTGGGCCCCCCCCCCCCCCCATGGTATCCCCCCCCCCCCAAGCCTACTCTACGGTCCCTAAACCCTAAACCCTAAACCCTAAACCCTAAACCCCTAAACCCTAAACCCTAAACCCTAAACCTAAACCCTAAACCCTAAACCTTAAGTCTTAAACCTAAACCCTAAACCCTAAAACCCTGAACCCTAAACCCTAACCCTAAAACCAACCCCCAACCACACCACAGGGGGGGGGGGAATCATCTTAGTACCCCCGCGGGGGAAAACCCTAAACCCTAAACCCTAAACCCTCCCCCCCCCCCCCCCCCTACCCCCCCCTACCACCCCCCCTACCCCCCCCCTACCCCCCCCCTAACCCCCCCCCCCCCCCCCTACCCCCCCCCTACCCCCCCCCCCCGTACCCCCCCCCCCCCCCCCCCCCCCCTGTGGTGTGGTTGGGGGTTGGTTTTAGGGCTTTAGGGTTTAGGGTTTAGGGTTTAGGGTTTAGGGTTTAGGGGGTTTTAGGTTTTAGGGTTTTAGGGTTTAGGGTTTAGGGTTTAGGGTTTTAGGGGGTTTAGGGTTAGGGTTTAGGGTTTTAGGGTTTAGGGTTTAGGGTTTAGGGTTTAGGGTTTTCCCCGCGGATGGGGTACTAAGATGATCCCCCCCCCCCCCTGTGGTGTGGTTGGGGGTTGGTTTTAGGGTTAGGGTTTAGGGTTCAGGGTTTTAGGGTTTAGGGTTTAAGGTTTAAGACTTAAGGTTTAGGGTTTAGGGTTAGGGTTTAGGTTTTAGGGTTTAGGGTTTAGGGTTTAGGGTTTAGGGGTTTAGGGTTTAGGGTTTAGGGTTTAGGGACCGTAGAGTAGACTTGGGGGGGGGGGGGGATACCATGGGGGGGGGGGGCCCAGGACGCTCGACGCTGAACCATATATACATATAATATCACTTGACATCTCATCAAATCTCATCTTTATACATAGCCCGAATATACAATCTCATATCGACGTGATCTGGAACCCCTGGTTTAAACAAGCGTGGGCACTTCTGCCGAGCTGTGCCTGCTTGCCATTAGGGTTCAGGGTTTAGGGTTTAGGGTCTAGGGTTAGGGTTAAGGGTTAAGGGTTTAGGGTTTAGGGTTCAGGGTTCAGGGTTCAGGGTTCAGGGTTCAGGGTTCAGGGTTCAGGGTTCAGGGTTCAGGGTTCAGGGTTTAGGGTTTAGGGTTTAGGGTTTAGGGTTTAGGGTTTAGGGTTTAGGGTTTAGGGGTTAGGGGTTAGGGGTTAGGGGTTAGGGGTTAGGGGTTAGGGGTTAGGGGTTAGGGGTTAGGGGTTAGGGGTTAGGGTTTAGGGTTTAGGGTTTAGGGTTTAGGGTTTAGGGTTAAGGGTTCAGGGGTTTAGAGCAGGAGGTCTTGCGTCCGGAGCTCGCAAGCGCATCAGACAGCTGCCGGCGTGGTGGATGATCAGGGCCTGGACCCGGGATACTGACGCAACTTGCACTTGGAACCCCAAACCCTAATCCCCAAACCCCAAACCCCAAACCCCAAACCCCAAACCCCAAACCCTAAACCCTAAACCCTAAACCCTAAACCCTAAACCTAAACCCTAAACCCTAAACCCTAAACCCTAAACCCTAAACCCTAAACCCCAACCCCCCAACCCCAAGCCTTGAACTCCAAAGCCTAAACCCTACAAGGACTTTTGGGTGGAAGCCATAAGCTGAGAGTGGCGTAGGCGATTTTTTCTCGGGCTTTGGGGATGAGAGAAATTCCTCTTCAAGTCCTGCCCCACCCACCCCATCCCACCCCCCCCTCCGCCGCCGCTCCGTTCAGGGGTTTAGGGTTTAGGGTTTAGGGTTTAGGGTTTAGGGTTTAGGGTTTAGGGTTTAGGGTTTAGGGTTTAGGGGTCCAAATTTTTGAACAACCCCAGACTTTGAACTTCAAAATTTAGGGAGGTGCTTACAAAGACAGCTTTCCAGATGCTGTGCACCCCCAGCCTCTTCGTCACAGCGCCATAATCTGCCTGGGGATGTGCAATGCCCCCAAAGGACTACGAGGAAGCAACTACCCCTAAACCCTAAACCCTAAAAACAGTCAGGGTTACGCACTTAAGAAACGAATCAAGTACTTTGCAAAGCAATTGGAGGTCCATGGGTACTTTTTACAAGTAGGGTTATAAGTAGGGCAACAATGGCTGCAACTTCGTACTGATAACCCTATTTCTAAGTACCCATGAACCTTCAAGTAACCCCTGAACCCTCAACCCTAACGGGTAAGGCCTAGTCTGCTTACTTCGGTTCCATAAGTGTCGGGATTCCCTACCAAAAGGCGCCTCCCCAAACGGATGGGACCCCTTAACTCCCCTAAGCCCCAACCCTAAACCCTAAACAACAAACCTTGTGACTGCGAACCCTAAAAACCCTAAAAACCCTAAAAACCCCAAAAACCCTAAAAGCCCTAAAAGCCCTAAAAACCCTAAAAACCCTAAAAACCCTAAAACCCACCTAAAAACCCTAAAAACCCTAAAAACCCTAAACCGCTTCAGAGTTGCGGCGTCTGACTTGCCCTGGAGCAAGCCGAAGCGCTCGTCAAAGCAGGCTCCGATCTGGCCAGGGGATTGCCCGTTTGGGTTTCCGGTTTCAGGTTTCAGGTTTATCGTTTAGGGTTTAGGGTTTAGGGTTTGGGGTTTAGGGTTTAGGGTTTAGGGTTTAGGGTTTAGGGTTTAGGGTTTAGGGTTTAGGGTTTAGGGTTTAGGGCTTAGGGTCCGGGAGTGCCCGTTTGGGTTTCGGGTTTCAGGTTTCGAGTTTCTAGGGTGTAGGGATGCCAGATTAGGCCATGCCCGTCCTGCTCCAGCGGTACCCCCTTCGTCTCCGGGAGCCAGATGCCCAGAATCAGAGCTAGGATGCAGAACCCACCAAAGAGGAGAAAGGTCTCAAACTCGATGGAGGACCTTGTGGGTCGTACTTGGAGGTTCACGGGTGCTTACAAGTAGGGTCAGATGCAGGGTAACTATGGTTATAACCTTATTTAGGGTACTCATAACCCTACCCATATGTACTCATGAACCTTAAGGGGCCGTCTGCCGAGGCACATCAAGATCGGCGAAAACTGCGCGATGAGGAAATTTCCCACCTGGATCAGCTGGCAGATCCAAACACGCGGAGGAGCACCCTGTATTCATTCTGAGACACATCTTTCAAAACCCTAAGTCCCTAAACCCTAAACCCTAAGCCCGAAAGCCTAAACCCATGCGTCCGGGCGCCCAATTCGTCATCGTCGTCACTCCGACGCACCGGGCCCGATGACGGAGGGGGAACATCTCCGCACCTGGAGGAGTTTGTGAAAGCTGTGGTTCGGAGATTGGGGCACGGAATTTTAGGTAAACCCTAAACCCCAAACCCCAAACCCCAAACCCCAAACCCCAAACCCCAAACCCCAAACCCGAAACCCGAAACCCTAAACCCTAAACCCTAAACCCTAAACCCTAAACCCTAAACCCTAAACCCTAAACCCACGGGTCCTGGGAGCTGAACTAGGAGCTGAACTAGTAGCTGAGGAGCAATAGACCCAAACCGTCGGCCCCCAGGTGCTTGCAAAGCTGGCGATGAAGCACAGGACCTGACAAGGCGGTGTCTCGGTCCACGGGCTGGCGTCAAGATGTAGGGTTTTAGGGTTTAGGGTTTAGGGTTTAGGGTTTAGGGTTTAGGGTTTAGGGTTTAGGGTTTAGGGTTTAGGGTTTAGGGTTTGGTTCAAGCGCTCAGATTCTTGGGGCCAAGGCTTAGGATTAAGACTTGGGTCTTCAGGTGGCGCAGGGAAGTCTTTTCAACTCTGAACCGGTCAGGAATCTTCCTTTGAAAGCCGAGTTGGAATCCCATGTCTAGGGTGGCCCTCAAAGCCCTCGGAAAAATGTTCCTACAACGTGCTCCTCTTAAACCCAATACAAAAAAACATGAAACATCCCAAAGGGCCTACCTAGCTGTAGCTCCAACCCTAGGCCCTAAACCCAAAACCCAAAACCCTGAACCCCTGGTGGGGCAAGTGGCCATGGCCGCCAGCAAAACACCCACCAGCGGGGAAGCTGGTTGGATGTTCTCCCCACTGCCTGGCTCATGCGGCTTCAGAGAGTCGAGGGGTCAGGGAGGCATCCAAAGATCACCGCCGGTCGCCGTGTGTTTAGGGTTTAGGGTTTAGGGTTTAGGGTTCAGGGTTCAGGGTTTAGGGTTTAGGGTGTTTCGCTCTTCTTCTCAGGGGGGCGGGGGCGCAGCCCCATTTGCAAACACAATGCCGCGCAGGATGGATTTGGAAAGGGTTCATGTTCGTCTTAGGTGCCGAAGAGATGCTCTTCGATGGCGTGACTTTCTTTGAAGGCAACTTTGCACGGTCTAAAGGGCGGGGGGGGGGGGGGGACGGTTCTTGCCGTAGCGAGTGAGGACGCACGGGCGTCCTGGAGCTGTGAGAGATGTTGAGACTGTCTACCAATGTCAAAGAAATCAGGGTCGTCCCAACATGCAAGACAATGGCAAGGAAGCCGAGAAGCCAGACTTCTCGGCCCTAAACCCTAAACCCTAAACCCTAAACCCTAAACCCTAAACCCTAAACCCTAAACCCTAAACCCTAAACCCTAAACCCTAAAGAAGCAGTTGCCTCCAAGAGCAGGAGGCCGCAACAGCCAAGCCAGGAAGCTACCGAAGCCCAGAACGAAGATCCGAGCCGGGAAGCCACCGAAGCCAAGAGACAAGAGCCAATTAGGGTTTAGGGTTTAGGGTTTAGGGTTTAGGGTTTAGGGTTTAGGGCTTAGGGTTTAGGGTTTAGGGTGTAGGGTGTAGGGTGTAGGGTTTGGGGTTTAGGGTTTGGGTTTAGGGCTTGTCTTTACAGTGCCATGGTCCTCGGTGCACGTGCACTGGACTGTCGACTTTGCTTCCAGTCATGCTGCCCAAGCCCGACCGGAGGTGCTTGGTAGCCCAGTAACCATCTTACAATAAGGGCACCCTTTTTTTGGGTCGGCTACTTTACAAGGGAACCCAGAACCAAAAAGAAGGGTAAAGGGTACCACCGGGCTACCAAGGGTGGTGTTCTGCAAGTTTCATCGACCCTGCCGGGTGCCACGTACGACTCTGTCTTACTTCTCCAATAACCAAGGGAACAAAAAGGTTAAACTTGATGATTCCAACTAAATAAGGAAGCCCAAAAAGTCTAAAGTCCAGCTGTGGGAGAAGTAAGCTGTAGGGTTTATAGGGTTTATCGGGTTTATAGGGTTTATAGGGTTTACAGGGGTTTATAGGGTTTACAGGGGTTTATAGGGTTTATAGGGTTTATAGGGTTTATCGGGTTTATAGGGTTTATAGGTTTATAGGGTTTAGTTGCTGACTGAATCTGAGGGTGTCAATAGCCGGCTCAGCCGTGCATTCCGCTAGATGCTTCAGGACTTGGATGCGGGATTTCCTTCGTATGATTTACGGGTTTAGGGTTTAGGGTTTAGGGTTTGGAGTTTAGGGTTTAGGGTTTAGGACTCAGTGGTTTTTTCGGGGAGACAGCAGGAAGGGTTGGACGGCAGGGCGCTGCGCAATGTGTTTGGAGGTGCTGGCGACACCGCCCTCAAGCAGTGGGTCTTTGGAGGACTCAGAGTCCTGGCCTTCCAGATGCTATCCCCGAACCCATCTTGCTTATGCGCCTTTGTGTAGGGCAAAGAGTATCGCACTAGTATCTGTCAAAGCCAACCACCCGAGGCTTGAAGCCTCTGTGGCAAGCCTAAACCTAAACCCTAAACCCTAAACACTAAACACGAAACCCTAAACCCTAAACCCCAAACCCTAAACCCCACACCCTAAACCCTAAACCCTAAGCCGAGGGCGCCTGTGGTGCCGTACATCCCGAGGAAGCCTAGGGCGAAGTTGGAGATCGCCATCCCCGCAGCGCCAGTGATGAACAGGGAGCGGCGCCCTGTCTTCCTTGGAGCAAGGCGCCTTAAGAGCCCGACACCCCCCCCAGATAGCCTAAACCTTCAACCCCAAAAGGCACAGAGAGCGACCACACCCAACCGTGGCGCGGGCAAGAAATTCGCCCTATAAGGCAGGCCGGGCGTCTCAATGAAGTAGAGGCAGGGCAAGGTGAAAAGCATGTTGGTGGCATTGGAAATCCTCAGGTTCACGGCAAATTCCTAAACCCTAAACCCTAAACCCTAAACCCTAAACCCTAAACCCTAAACCCTAAACCCTAAACCCTAAACCACTGACAGCTGACCAGACATGACCTACAAGGACGCCTTGAGCCTCGAAGCATGGGATGCTCGCAGGTGCTTGTGGCCTGGTGCTGCGATGTCACTTGCCATCGGTGCCTTCTCGAAACTTGCCTGTGTTGAGACAGTGGCCACTTGGGATGTTCTCCCTTTTTCTAGCAGTCTTGAAACCTCCTAGAGTCCCTCTTAAGGACTGTGAATATGAAGGGGAAACATCCCAAGTGGCCACGATGGCCACGAAACTCTCGTGCCACTGGCTGGACAATCTCTGCTCTGCAAGAGGCTCCACTGTGTTCAGTTCCGCAAGCTCCACATCAGAGGCTGATGCTCAGCAGCCGTGTGCCATGTTTCTTTAAAGGGCTCTCTGTCGCCAAGGCAAAAAGCACCCGCCCCCCCCCCCCCCCCCCCCCAGTTGGAGCAAACGCATCCTCACCTCACTGCTTGCGCAACCGACGTCAGAAACACGGCCTTGACAAATGTTGATGCTTGCTGATTTGAGCCCAACCCCACAGAAGGCTCCCAGGAGCAACCCTAACCCTAAACCCTAAACCCTAAACCCTAAACCCTAAACCCGAAACCCGAAACCCTAAACCCTAAACCCTAAACCCACTCCAATGGCATGCCAAGTCTCGTCTGAAAAAGGTTTGCGTCGAGGTTCAAGTGCTTGAAGATCCGAGGGCCGAAGTACATGAAGGCGTTCCTCGGTTTAGGGTTTAGGGTTTAGGGTTTAGAGTTTAGGGTTTAGGGTTTAGGGTTTAGGGTTTCGGGTTCAGGGTTTAGGGTCTCGCGAGGGAACTGCTCCAATGACGGTTACACGGATCGCGGGCTAAAGGCACCAACCCACTCACCACCCGAAAGCCATGAAACACCAAACAAAAAAATCCGAACCAACAAGCTCCGAGCATGCAGCCTCACGCATTCCTGGGCCCAAGACAGCCAGGTCACATCCCAACGAGCTGCTGCAGCATCTGCAGCGATGCCCCAATGCCCACCAGAAGCAGCATTCGTCCACGGAAGACCTCACAAACCCTAAACCCTAAACCCTAAACCCTTAACCCTAAACCCTAAACCCTGAACCCTAAACCCTAAACCCTAAACCCTAAACCTGCCCGGGGGGGGAGCTTACACTTCGCTTCAATAGCAGGCACGTGCCCGAAGCGACCATGTGGTTGACAGGGCCCTTGACTTACCCAGAGGGTCCATTTGTAGTACTATTATGGATTTAGGTACCCAAAAACCATACTAAATAGGGTTTTGGGGCACCTAATTCCATAATAGTACGTACTACAAATGGACCCTCTTGGTTATTTCAAATATAAGCGAACGAGCGCCAAGGAACGCAACTAGAAAATTAGTACTCAAGTGAGTTGTCATACTGTGAAAAAAAAGTGAACAACCTTAATCTTGGCTTTTTAGGGGCGGTGCTGCTGATTGTAAGTTTGCTCTGGGAAGTCATATGCATTCCGTTCGCTTGCTCTATTATTATCTTGATCTGCGAGTGAAACAAACGAGCGAACAAAAGGAATATTTCAACCTCTGGCATTATCAATGCAGCATTTGCGCTATCTTTGCCCACCAATCGATTGTGAACGGAGATAAGAAAAATATGTATGGATATACATATATATATATACATATATATATATATATCACATATATATATATATGTGTGTATCTATCTATCTATCTATCTATATATATATACATATATTCTAGGGTTCTTTGGGCGGGTGGGTATTTTTCCAACGCTCGATGAAGCGCTTGCTGAACCCTAACCCTGAAACCCTGAAGCCCTGAAGCCCTGAAGCCCTGAAACCCTGAAACCCTTAACCCGAAACACGAAACCCTAAACCCGAAACCCTAAACCCTAAACCTTAAACCCTACACACCGAGGCCCAGACCTCCGACCAGCTGCCACTAGCAACAGCACACTCCGCCTGAGATCCGGAGGCACAGGTAGGGGGCTGCTTGTGTTAGGGGTTTAGGGTTTAGGGTTTAGGGTTTAGGGTCTAGGGTCTAGGGTTTAGGGTTTGGGGATTTACTTAGGGTTTAGTGTTTAGGGTTTGGGGTTCGGGTTTTGGGGTTTAGGAGGGGGTGCCTGTGTGAGGTTGTTGAGGGGTTCAGGGCTTCAGGCTTGCAGCGTTTTGGGGTTTTGGGGGGTTCATGGCTTTCGGTGTAGGAGTTTGGGGCTTAAGGGTTTGGGAGGTTGGGTGTTTCGGAGATCAGTTCTTTTGGGTGTAGGCTTAGCACAAGCCCCTTATCAAAAGGATAACAAGGATCGATATGCACACGCCTCGACTTTCTGAACGATTGAAAACCCAGCGGGTCTAGGATGGAAAGTCCAGGGCGACCCGAAACCTTAAACTAGGGTTTAGGGTGTAGAGTTTAGGGTTTAGGGTTTAGGGGTTAGGTTCCCCCTTTTTCTCACAGTCCTTAACGGGACTATAGTACCCCTAGTAAAGCTCCCTATTGAGGACGCAACCCTAAATCCTCAACCCTGTGGTTGTTTTTTTTGTAAAGAGACCACCGGCTGAGAAATCAATCGGTGGCGATTGTCTTAAGATCTGCGGCTTAATGTTTCCCTCAACCCTAAACCCAAAACCCTAAACCCTAAACCCTAAACCCTAAACCCTAAACCCTAAACCCTAAACCCTAAACCGACATGCTCTGCAACGAGGGCCCTGAGCATGCCTCACATCCCTCCGGCGGTATCACATTAGGAACCCCAAATAAGGCACCATAATCCAGAGAACCTCACATGTCCTAGACCCTAAGCCCTGAGCCCCAAAACGGGAATCGCAAGGTAGAGAACCCGCAAGAGGGGGGGGGGGGGAAAAATATGTATAAGGGGGATTGTCAGGTCAAGGTCATTAGACGTTGCTGTGTCTGCTTCATTTGTTACTTTTCATCATTGTCACCTATCGTTTAAAATTATTTGTTGCTGTTTCATTTCAATTTCTAGGGTCTCAATGTTGTCTAGGGTTAATGGTCTTCTTATTTGTTTTTGTCTTTGCTATGGTTCATTCGTTTTCTCTGTATGTGTGTCTATGCTTGTTACCTCGTTTGTTTTAGTGCTTGACCCTAGGTGTAATAATTTATTTTAAGTATTTGTTTCCCCTTTGATGTTTTCATTTTTAGGCCTAGTAGTTATTCTTAACTTTTGGTTTTGGTAGGTTTATTCGTTATTTTCGGTCTCTGGGTTAGACTATAATTGACTTTAGATAGGCGGTTCATAGAAACGCCTATCATAAAGCCTAGTCTGGGCTTAGTTCGGTCTAGACATTCCCCTAACTTTGGGTTATTTCTAGGGTTTATGGGCGGTTCAACGATAATATTAATAAAATAATATTATGGTTGTCACTTATTATTTAGTAAATCTTTATATTCTTCTTCAATGTCCTGAATACTTTTATTCAACCACTTAACAGCATTTTTTGGTTTCATATCTAAATATTTTGTGTCTTTGGTTCCGCCACATTGACAAAGTATTTCAATACGTTCAATTAAATCCGAATATTGTTTTATTAACTTTTTATCTTCTGAGATTTTACCTTCCAAAATAGATATATCACGCCTAACATTCAAGATATCTTCTTGGTCAAAAACACCTTCATAAACTTTAAGCAACTTACATAACTCCTTAATTTTATTTAAGTAATCTATTTCATTTATTTTCATTTCATATATCTTCTTTATATACTTCACTTGTATTTTATATGTATTTAAATTTGTATAATCCATATTACTATAATATACTAGGGCGTTTTGTCTTTAAGTAGTTTCAGGATCGTTCAGCCATTTCAGTAATAATGTTATGGTTGATTTATTCAAAGGGATTAAATACTTTATCAATATATTTATGTATTTCATTTCTATCAATATAGCAAGCATAATCTTCTAATATGTAATCAATATACATTACAACCACTTTATAAAACAGGTCTAAATTTTCATATTCTGTTTTAGCATAAACATAAGTGCCAGATAAAAATGAGTTCATATGATAACCTACAAGACGTTTTGTGCTTCCTTCGCTCCACATATTGGTAAGAAAATCTTCAACAATACCAAATACATCAGCATTATGAACAAATGAGTTTAATACTTTTTTATCTTTAGCCCCTCTTGCTTTAATTAATTCTTTCATTTGTTGTTTCATGATACTTCTCGTTCTTATCCTGTTGTCTATGAATGATTTCGGATTAATCTTTATCAATAAGAAGAACTGCTTTTCTACTTTACTCAATTCTATACCAAATCTTGGATATTCATCACTAAAGTTATTGTCATGATGTTTTAGTTTCTCACACTTTTTACATTGTAGATAATCAACTACTTCATTACCTATATTTTCAGGTAATATATTATTTAGAATGGCTTTTCTATTCCCCTTAATACATTTACACACATGGCAATTTTCATACTTAAATATACTCATTTTCCTCTTACTATTCTAAGGCGTTTTGTCTTTAAGTATTTTTAACTATAATATTATTTGTAAGTTAATAATATTATGGTTGGTCTATAATGATGAATTTTAACCATTGTATTAAATCATAAAAAACTTGTCGCTTATTTAAATATGTAATTATCATTGAAAATATTCTTAAATAATGATACAAATATTGTTTTAGTTCAACTCCATTATTGCAATATTCATATTCATTATTATATTTAGTTCTTAATAGTTCTTTCAGTTCTTTTACTTTTTCCTCATTAAAATAATGATTATAAACATCTTCAAACTTTTCATTAATTTTTTTATCATATAATTCAGTAAATTTTTCATAATATTCAGTTTCATATTCTTCTACTTCATCTTTATAAATATTACAATAAATATTAGCAATACAGAAGTTAGTATCATACCCTCTCAATATGTTAAGTATTATACTCCGATGATTAGGAAACTCATTTGTTGTTACTAAACTGTAAATAAGAATGGAAACATCATAATCCAAATAATAGTTTCTTGATACACAGTCACTACATCCGATATAGGAAAAGATATTCTCATTTACACCATCAGTAAATACATTAAAGTTATTCTTCAACTGATAATATATTAATTTACAGTTCTTACAGTTTTTAATATCATCCTTTATTAATTTACGACCATACTCAATTTCTTTCTCAATGTTATAATCTACTGTTACAACGCTTTCATTATCACTCATTACTCTTAATATACTAGGGCGTTATGTCTTTAAGTAGTTTTTCAATCCGTTTCATTTAAATTATCCCTTTTATATTTGTTATTAGTATATACAAATATGCGTTTCTTTCTTCTTCATCCATTTCTAGCATAATATTAACATTTCTTGTTTTTCTTGTTCTTTGGGGGTATTTTGTATAAAGTGCTGAAATCTCTTTGAAAAGCTTATCCTTCTTTGCTCGGTTTGTCTCTTTCTTCCACTTGTCATTCAACTCATGAAACTCTGAATTAAATTTATGCTCATTACTGTTCAAATGTCTATTAACATATTCTCTCCTATACAATCCTTGACCGAATATACTACAAATATCACACTCTTTAAATCTACAAAGTCCCTCCTTCTTCATTTTAACTCTTAATATAATATGTCCTCTAGCCTTTAAGTGTTTTTTCAATCTACTAATAATATTTCGTGCCTGTTATACTTTTTAGTTTTACCTTCTAAAATGTAGTGTTTGTTAAGTTGTAGGTCTCTTCCTATTTCCTTAACCGTGTATGTTTGTTCGCTCCATTGATTGCGCGATTCTTTGCGACTGCTGTAGTTGCCCTTTCCTTTTACAAATACTTTCACCTTATCCCCCTCTTCAACCTTAGGATATTTTCTTAAATACTTTTCTTTCAAAACCGAGTTTGCCTTCACTTTCACTGCGTTTTCATCTTTATGTGCTTCGTCTGGAGTCATATCCGTTGTTGAATGTTTCATTTGTTTGTTGTATTTGTTTAATACTGGTTGTAATAAAATCGTCCATGCTCCTTTCGTTACTAACGCTCTGTCTGTAATCATCTTCTTAATAGTTCTGATTGCTCTCTCTGCTACATTCGCATGCGTTAAAGTTACTATATGGTCAATGCCTTCCCCTTTCAAAAAATCCTGTAGTTTCTTGTAGTTAAACGCCCCATCATCATCCGAATAAATACTGTTAGGAAATCCCATAACCTTAAAGCATTCCATAAAGGCATCATACACCGTCTCACCGTCTTGGTTCTCCATAGGCACGATATGAATTTTCTTACTAAAATTATCAATACATAACAACGCGTATCTCTTATACTCTTTCTTAAAAGTATCTGTATCTTTCATTAAACTAACCGTATCCATAAAATCAACACTATAAACTGCTCTAGCATAAGGCGCTGAAATAACTGTTGTAGTTCTTATAATTTCTCCTTTGAGTTGATTGTTTCTTAACCCAGTCCTTAACATATTGTAAGGTTACACCCGCTCCGTCTTTATTTGCTTCTTCATACAAACTTCTTACCGACCCATATCCTCTTTCCAAATCATAATATATCTTCTCCAAAATCTCATTAGCACTCATAATTAATATTAACTAGAAATTTAATTAATATTAATTATAAACCTACAATTTTCCTCACTAATGTTTTCTCCATTTCTTTTTGTTGCTTCTCTTCATAAATTCGCTTACACCTTTCGGTGCTCTGATGCTTTGCTTTATTACTGTTACTTGTTATGGTTTTACCACATCTTTCACACACATAACTCTTACTGTTTTTCTTATAATAATCATTAAAATAATCTTCTTCTTTATACTTCTGGTTCAACCTATCATTATAAATTTTCTTCTTTTCTTTCTTGATACACTTATCACTTTCACTATCAGTAGTTGAAACATCCCCATTATCAATACTATTCCATAACAGGTCAAACAAATCGTCATTAATTGTTGTTTTTATTCCGTCATTACCTACGAAGTAGTTAGT